TTTCCACTAAGGCTACCTATCCACAAGGTCTATGACTACTTGTTCTTATCCAGGCTGGTAGTTTTCCACCAAGGCTGCCTGTTTACAAAATCTATAGCTATCTGTTCTAGGGTCAGTGTTTTCCCACAGAGACTAAGACTTTGTGTTAGCAGGCATGTATAGCTGACTTAGGCCTATGGCTGACTTAGGCCTTCAGTGTATAAGCAAGGTTGCTCCCAACAATGGTGTCTCTTCACAGGCAATAGAACCCTAACTAAGACAACCACCCCAACTAATAAAATATTTAAATGTTCAATATTTGTGTCATTTAAAATACTTTGGTAAATTTTTTTTTAAAGAAAACCATATACAAGTCTCTTTTGGTTGTATAATTTAAACGTGTAGTAAGATTCTGCTTTCTTTATTATGTAAGCTCACCTTACATTTTCCTCTTGGATTCTGTACTGATTTGTAACGTCCTGGTCGTCCAATTCACTCCCTAAAATGTAAAACCAGAAAACCATTGTACACTCTTAGAGATTACAAAAATCTTCTTAGGTTCTTGGTATGAAACAAGCTCATAATGCCTGGTTTACATCAATGTAAACCACTTTTTACATTCTAAGTCTTAAAATAGTGATGGTGGGCAAGAAATCACTGTCAGTAGGCTTTGTGGCACATGCCTTTAATCCCAGTACTGGGGAGACAGAGGCAGGTGGATCTCTGAAAGCTGAAGGCCAGCCTGATCTACATAACAAGTTCTAGGCCAGTGGGGATACATAGTGGAACCTTGTCTCAAACAATAATCCCAACAGCAAAAAATTCCTTGTCATATAATTACCTCTGTAAAGGAAACAGTGTCATCCTTACCCACAGAGGCCAGGTTCCTCACAGTTTCCCACATCACATCTCTGTAGAGTTTCTTCTGTGCAGGATGCAGCAGAGCCCACTCTTCCTGAGTGAAAGTCACACACACGTCCTCAAAGGTCACTGAATCCTAAGAAAGATCAACAGAGCTAGAGAAATCTATTTCAATCTGTAAATGCACACACACACACCATTTTTTTTCCTTTGCAGTACAGGGGATTGAACCTAGTGTCATTCATACTAGGCAAACTGCACCACTCATGTAGCCTCATCCAAAGGTGACATATAATTCTGTGGTCCCTCAACACTTACTACCTGGCTTGATTGTCAGTTTTACTAATTGTTCATAGTGTGTTGTAAAAGTTTAACAGCTTCTAGAAAGCATGAACACAAGTTACATTTTTACTATGACTACCCCACAAACATTTTAAAAAATACATAATTTAATTTGCTTTTTGAGACAAGAGTCTCAAGTAGTCCAAACTGGCCTCCAACTTGCTATGATATGAAAGATGGCCTTTAAGTCCTGATCCTCCTGCCTCTACCTTCTAAATGCTGGGATTAAAGGTGCATGCTTCCACACCTAGCTATTTATTTATTTATTTATTTATTTATTTATTTATTTATTTATAGGCAGGGTCTAACTCCACAGTTCAAGCCGATCTAGATCTGATCTTCCTGTCTTGGTCCCCTCAGTGCTGTGATTACAGGCTATGATTGGCTGTCATTGCAAGTCTTACTAGTATATGATGGTAGTTCAAATGGAATAAATATTTTTCATCATTTTTTTGGTGAGAAAATTAATTTTTTACTGCTCATAATGCTTGATACTTTTTCCTCAGACTTTTAAGGGCTGAGATCACAGACATTCTGTCAGGGGCAGCCTTGCTTATGCAGTAAAGACCTAAAATCAGCAGTAGGCCTGACATACATGCCTGCTAAAACAAAGTCTTGGTCTCTGTGGAAAAACTCTGAACACATGGCTATAGGATCTTGTAAACAAGTAGCCTCGGTGGAAATTTACCAGCCTAGATAACAGTCATAGACCTTGTGGATAGGAAGCCTTGGTGGATAGTACCAGCTTAGATAAGAAATGAGTGAATCATAGACAGACTCATAGTGACCTGTTCCCTGAACCTTCACCCAGCCAATACCCTGTTCTGGAAGATACCTGTACTCCCCCTGAGAACACCTACGTTCCTGTGTCATCCCCTTTCCCACATCCTGCCTTTATGTGTTTATAACTCCTGTGTGAAAAAGTAAAAATAAGCAGTTTGATCAGACTATAGACAGACTGTGGTTCTTTGTGTTTGCCTGTTTCCCCCATTCTCTCTTTCAGATGATCCTCCCGGACTCTGTTCAATGCCCTGCTGGACAGGCATTCTGGTGCCCAACATTCTAGAGCTTGAGATCATAGAGGCTCTTCAGAGGAGGGGTAGGCCTGCCCAGTTTTTCAGGAGCCTTGAGGGTGACTGCCTGGAGTGCCTGAGGGCACTTCGAATTATAGACCACTTCTTAGAGTGACTCCCAGAGGTGCTGTGAGTGACTCTGGATTTTTTAGGGGCACCCAAGAGGACACTCCAGAGGTCCGCTTGAGAGCTGCCTTGACTCAGAAGGATACCACGGTCTGCCCAACTGTGGGACAATCCTGTGGAGGATCAGAGCAGCAAGGCCTTGAGGTAAAAGGCATTGGGACAGGCATTTTTCTAAGCAGTCACTATTCATGAAGGAATCAATGAGTGAGTCACTCAGGATGCGAGGAATTAGGGTTAAGAAAAAAGGATCTTTAAACATTCTTTGCGGCAGGTGGATTTCTGAGTTCGAGGCCAGCCTGGTCTACAGAGTGAGTTCCAGGAGAGTCAGGGATACACAGAGAAACCCTGTCTTGAAAAAAAGAAAAAACATTCTTTGCTTTCATTAGTGTTGTTTTCCCAAGAAGAGGACTATTGATAAAAAATGCTATACACCCTACAGAAGAGATAAAAAGTTAAACATTGAAAATGAGAGAAAGGGTGAAAGCATTTGCCTGCTCTCTGATGTGTTTACAAAAGAAAAAAGGTTGTTTCAGAGCCCTCCTGGGAGCAAGAGAAAATCCTACTGAAGAGATTCTCAGTTCTGTTTTTTTGTTGTTTGTTTGTTTATAGTGTGTCTTTGGTATACCAATCTGTCCATGTGTGTCAACTGTCTTTGTCTCGTTGTTTGAATGATTGTTGTTCTATGTTTCATATTCAAAAGAAAACCTGGTTAATTTAAAACTGCTTGCTTGCCTGGGCAGTGGTGGCGCACGCCTTTAATCCCAGCATGTGGGAGACAGAGGCAGGTGGATTTCTGAGTTCGAGGCCAGCCTGGTCTACAGAGTGAGTTCCAGGACAGCCAAGGCTACACAAAGAAACCCTGTCTCGAAAAACAAAACAAAAACAAAGCAACAAAAAACCCTGCTTGCTCGATTTAGTTTGAGACTTGCTTAGAAATAACACAGCAAAAACTGATAAGCTACCCTGCTCTGTGGCTGAGAGTAAGGCATAAACTGCTCTTGGAGGGAGGCCAACAGTTTTTTGGCTTCTGTAGTAAGGGAGTTGATAGTGGTTTTTCCCCGGTTTGATAAGTGAAAGGGTGCTTTTCTCTTAAAATTACAGCTAAAAAGGCAAGAAAAATTTATTTAGATGTACATTTATTTTTATTCTTGATTTGGTGTTAAAAAATATAAATATGCTCTATATGTCCTAGTTATATATTATTGGGTATGATTACAAATTTATAATTTTGGTAACAAAATGCTAGATTAAAACTGGCAATTCAGAGTTAGTCATTCAAAAACCAGATGTATGAACGAGATCTCAGTAAGAGTTTTATCTAAGATCAAACAAAACTCTGATAAACACCTTCTTTTGTTACACAATTGGCTTATTAGCGGATCCCTCTAAAGGAGTTTTAATACGAGCCTTTGCTCTCATATGAGCTTTAAAATTTGAGAGTGATTGTTGCTCCAGAAAACACCCAAAGACAATATCTTTTCAATATCTGAGACATCAGCTATATTCCTAAATAAATTGTGACACAAAAATTCGAATAAGAAAACATAGTTTACTTATTTTAAATTATTTTCAAAAGTTTCTAGGAGACGCTAATTGGCTAAGATCTTATTTTAAGCTCTCCACAAAAGAATATAAGCCTCTGTTTAATGTTCTCAAGAGAGATACAAATCCTAATTTCCCTCAACAATTAATTGACAAAGAAGAGTAATTTTACAAAAAGTAGAAGAAGTCATTATTAATAGATATATAGATTGATTAGTTGCTGGCTGTTTTATAACAGTCCTTTGATAAAAAGAGATTATTAATATAGATTTATATTTCTTTATTTCCAAAAGTTTTAACATCCTGTTTTAAAGTTGTTGCTGTGTTAATACAAAATTATGGGTCAAGATCACAAAGGTATCTTAAGAACTTAATGAAATATTTCTTATTCCAAATAATAATAAAGTCGGTTGTTAAAAAATATGAATATTTAACCTATTACATGATCAATTTGTTACAGTTTTCCCCTATACATGCTTTTGATAATATATATGCCATATATATATTCCATAAAAGGTGTGTTTATTGTATTAGTAGACAGCTCATTTAATAGAAAAACAATATATATAATGAGATTACATGTTCATTCTTTTGAGTTCCCCCCTGCTTCAACACAGATAATTGAACTATGTGCTGTAGCCACTATTTAAAATATAAAACATAAAGCTTTCAATTGGTATACTCATAGCTAGTATATAGCTCATGGTTTATAATTGCTTAAAATTATTTCTTTTTTAGATATTAATAATTTTCAAATTTTACAAATACAGCTCAATTTAAGAAACATGTATTTTTCCTTAATTTATAAGACATTTAAGAGCTCATACTAGATTGCCTAGACCCCAGGAAAATGGAATAACAAATTTGTATATCAGACAGATTACAGACCTTACAAAAACAATTGGCCATACAATTTTATTCTTTACATTGAGGTTGCTGTATAATAAAAGTTTGTTTATCTGGATTGCTGTGCCATTGTAGCTGATCTGCTTTTTGTGATCCTTTGAGGCCAGAAACTGCAGCTTTTTGACACTTAGCACCTCATTTTTAAAACAGCCAAAGATTAAGTAAACAGCTTTTGTTTTGTCTCAGCAAGAACTGCTGGGCTCTAACTTATGCCTGCTAGTCTGAGGCCACGTAAAAAAAGTTATTAAAGAGTCTATCATTAAGAGTAAAAAAGTTTTCTATGAAAGCTATCTGAGGAAAAAAGTAGAAAGCTTCTATTTTGTTTGAGAAAAGGAAAAAAAGGTTCTATATAAGTGAGAAAGACAAAGAGTTCTGTTTAGCTCTCCATTATATTTGACCTCTTATCCTTTTGTCCTCAGTATTCATATATTTTTTAAAATAAATGATCACACATTATAAAGTTTATTACAGAGTCACACCAAAAATTAAATCATAAAATAAAATAGAATAATAATTTATAATAGAAAATGTTTATGTGCATATCTATTAAAAATAATTATCTGACTAAATGTTCATTGCCTGCCTGGCTCCGTAGGATTGAAACTATAACTGAGTTACCAGTGAAGATTTGTATAAATAAGCCCAGATAATATTTTATTTTCTGTCCCAGCATCTATAGTAAATTGTTGGTTCCCTTTTAATAATCTTTGACACATTGTTTTATAACCTCCTGGAATGTGCTCTGAATAGAAAAAAAAAAGTCTGGTTTTTATTTAAGAACAATTAACTGATGTTATTTGAGAGACTGATAAAATTCTTATTACAGTTTTGACTATCAAAAAAAGGCCTAATAACAGTCTCATTATAAAAGAGCTTAATAATCATAGATATAATTTAAAATTTTTTATAAGATCATCATTAAGATTTAAAAAGTCATCTATTATATAATATCACCACAAGATAGTACATCTTTGTAGATCTATGTTTAATAATAATAGCTTGAGACAATAATTTGATATTTCTAGAGTGTATAAGTCAAATTACAAAATTTGTTTTCAGTGTCCTCAATTTTTTCATAATGGTGTTAATACTTGAGGACTTATATCTAATCAATTATGATAAGTAGATGTTACTCATTTTTTTATTT